CTCACTGTCTCATCCCTGCATAACCCCACCCCGTCTCACTGCATCATCCCTGCATAACCACACCCTTGTCTTACTGCATCATCCCTGCATAACCTCCCCCGTCTCACTGTCTCATCCCTGCATAACCTCCCCCAACTGTCTCATCCATGCATAACCCCCCCTCACTGTCTCATCCCTGCATAACCCCGCCCCTGTCTCACTGTATAAGCCCTGGATAAGCCCACCCCCCCATACTCTCATGGTCATACCATGTTTGTCCCACCTGCACTATTGGGTACCACAGTCATGAGCCATGTCTGGACACTGGACACTTGACAGCGGATGGATCTTAATTGAGATGTGCTGTAACTGTCAAATAGCCACCAGTTTTTGAGGACTTTACTGTGAAACAAAGAATGTGAAATAGCTCATTTATAAGTTTTTCATTGATTGCCTGTTGCAATGATATTATTTTTGATATGTTGGGTTCAGTAAAATTATTAAATTAATTTTTATGTTTCTTTTTTTTTTTTTTTTTTTTTGAGACGGAGTCTCGCTCCATCGCTCCGGCTGGTGTGCAGTGGCATGATCTTGGCTCACTGCAAACTCCCTCCACCTCCCTGGTTCAAGCGATTCTCCTGTCAGCCTCTTGAGCAGCTAAGATTAGAGGCATGCACCACCATGCCCAGCTAATTTTTGTATTTTTAGTAGAGATGAAGTTTCACCATGTTGGCCAGGATGGTCTCAATCTTTTGACCTTGTGATCCACCTGCCTTGGCCTCTCAAAGTGCTGGGATTGCAGGTGTGAGCCACCTTGCTTAACCTTTTGTTTTTCTTTTTTGAGGTTGAGGGAGAGTCTCACTTTGTTGCCAGGCTGGAGTGCAGTGGCGCGATCTTGGCTCACTGCAACTCCGCCGTCCTGGGTTCAAGTGATTCTCCTGCCTTGGCCTCCCAAGTAGCTGGGACTACAGGTGTGTACCACCATGCCTGGCTTAGTTTTGTGTTTTTATTAGAGACCCGGCTTCATCATGTTGCCCAGGCAAGTCTCGAACTCCTGACCTCAAGTGATCCAACCACCTTGGCCTCCCAAAGTGCTGGAATTATAAAGATGAGCCTCCTACAGGCTCTCACCTGTTATCCCAGCTACTCAGGAGGCTGAAGCAGGAGGACTGAGGAGTTCAGTACTAACCTGGGCATCATAGTGAGATCCTATCTGAAAAAACTAAAATACAATAAAATACAGTTGCCTCCTTTTTACTTACTTAGTTCCTCCATGATTGAAACAGAATCATGGTGTGAGGATCTGAGTTTACAGCATAATAGAGACTTGAAGTCAAGTGTCTTGCAAAATTAAATATGATCTTGTGATTGGATGGATTCCACATAAGCTCTCTGATATGTCACCATGGCTTCAGTTTTATCTTCCAAGAAGAGGAAATGAATTAGCAGGAGAAAATGCTTAGTATCAGGATGTGTTATAGCGGGATTGTTCAGAGTATTGAAAACTAAAATCAGTACATTATTATTATTATTATTATTATTATTATTATTATTGAGATGGAGTCTCACTCTGTCACCCAGGCTGAAGTACAGTGGCATGCTCTCGGCTCACTGCAACTTCTGCCTCCTGGGTTCAAGCGATTCTCCTGCCTCAGCCTCCTGAGTAGCTGGGTGCACACCACCATGCTCAGCTACTTTTTATATTTTTGTTAGAGACAGCGTTTTACTATGTTGGCCAGGCTGGTCTTGAACTTGTGACCTCAGGTGATCTGCCTGCCTTGGCCTCCCACAGTGCTGGGATTGCAGGTGTGAGCCACCCCACCCAGCCTAAAATCAGTACATAATGTGTATACTAACTTGTGACTCTTAGTCAATTGATGATCTTCCACATCAACGATGGCTTTTTTGGTTCATTGTAACTGGTGTGTTTTCTTGTATTTGGGTTTTTGCTGGAGTGGTAGATGCAGGCCTCAGATATTTTGTGGATTCCTTAATGTAGAATACTTGGTAATGATGATTTACAAAACAAGACAATTCAGCTTTCTTTTGAATGTCAAAAATGTGATAATGCTTTGTCAGAGTGTTTCTTAAGCTGAATTTTTCTGTTGTGTGTACTTTTCAGAGAACGTGACTGTCATTCCTAACCAGGTGTATCAGCCCCTTGGTCCTTGTCCTTGTAATTTAACAGCTGGGGCCTGTGATATTCGCTGCTGCTGTGACCAGGTATGTTCTTTTGATTATTGGGCACAAAAGTTACCCTACCTGTGAGAACACCAGGAGAGCCACCAACAGCTTTTTTTATTTTTTATTTTTTGAGACAGAGTCTTGCTCTGTCACCCAGGCTGGTGTGTGGTGGTGCAATTATGGCTCACTGCAGCCTTGACCTCCCGGGCTCAAACGATCCTCTTACCTCAGCCTCCAGAGTAGCTGGCACCACAGGCATGCACCTTCAGACCCAGCTAATTGTTTTGTATCTTTTATAGAGACAGGTTTTGCCATGATGCCCAGGCTGGTTTCAAATTCCTGATCAAGCAGTCCTCCTACCTTTGCCTCCCAAAATGCTGGGATTACAGGTGTGAGCCACCATGCCTTGCCCCAACAGCTTTTTAAGGGATGATCTTCCCAAACTGAGATTATATTTTCTGTTGCAAATTGTTTTCAAATTGAGTATTTTTAAAAATTTTTAAATTTTGGCTGGGCATGGTGGCTCACACCTGTAATCCCAGCACTTTGGGAGGCTGAGGTGGGCAGATCACCTGAGGTTGGGAGTTCTAGACCAGCCTGGCCAGCATGGAGAAACCCCGCCTCTACTAAAACTACAAAATTAGCTGGGCGCGGTGGCACATGTCTGTAATCCCAGTGACTCTGGAGGCTGAGGCAGGAGAATTGCTTGAATCCAGGAGACAGAGGTTGCGGTGAGCCGAGATGACCCCATTGTACTCCAGCCTGGACAACAAGAGCAAAACTCTGTCTCAAAAAAAAAAATTAAATTTTTATTTTTATTCTTTTAGGCTTAGAGCAGGTACAACATATAAATTGAGTATTTTTCTCAAACTCCTGACTTCAAGTGATCCACCTGCCTCAGCCTCCCAAAGTGCTGGGATTACAGGTGTGAGCCACTGTACCCAGCCCCAAGTAATTTCTTGATGACATTAATTGGGTCCTGTTATAATTTAGCAAGGGCCTGGCGATCCTTGTGGAATACGGAATGTTTCCCCTCACTCTAAATGTCCATAGGCTTTTCTGGGCTAAGGGTTTGAATGGTGATGACAGTTAAGAAAGGAGGTTCACTATGGTTTTGTCTTCATTTGGGCTCTGTTCTGTACTATCTTTTCTTCTTTTGTCTTACCAGGAATATCTCATATCCCAAGTAAAACTGTGGTTCCCTTGAATGCCCGAAGTTTCTTATTTGGGGAATTGACAAAATAAATTCTAGAGCTACTTTACTTTCTATGGGCACAAGGCACTTTTAGATGAGACAGAGATTATAGGTTTTCTTGCTTACTCAGTAACATCCTACTGGGCATAAACAGTGAGCATTCATCGGGCTTGCCAGGAGATCCTCACTGCGGCCACAGCCCCTGCCTTTGTGTTTGCCTTCAAGGAATGCTCATCCAACTTAACAGAGCTGTTCAGAGGGTCCTGCTTCACCGGCGTGTTTGGAGGAGACGTCAATCCTCCTTTTGATCAGCTCTGCTCCGCTGAGACGACACACGCTGTCCCCGACTGGTTTCCCTTTCTGTGTGTGCAGTCGCCGCTGGCCAACACGCCCTTCCTTGGTTACTTCTATCACGGTGCCGTGTAAGTGTCAGAGCAGCCGCCTGGGATAGGGCATTGTTCTCCCGCCCCGGTGGGGCCATACTCTAGTAGGCCTTATAATGTGGTCCCATTTTTCCCAACCCCTCTCCAGAGGTTCTTTGCCTAGAGGATTCAATTCCAGATTTCAGTTAGCCAGTTTATTTTGCGTTATTTGAGAGAATTGGACCTCCTTGAAAATAAATTGATTGACACTGGAAACAGCTCACTTGCTTTTTTGTTTGTTTTTTTTTGAGATGGAGTCTAGCTCTGTTGCCCAGGCTGGAGTGCAGTGGCACGATCTTGGCTCACTGTAGCCTCCACCTCCCGGGTTCAGGGGATTCTCCTGCCTCAGCCTCCCAAGTAGTGGAAACTACAGGTGCACACCACCCCACCTGGCTAACTTTTGTATTTTTAGTAGAGACGGGGTTTCACTGTGTTAGCCAGGATGGTCTCTATCTCCTGACCTTGTGATCTGCCTGCCTCAGCCTCCCAAAGTGTTGTGATTATAGGCGTGAGCCATCACACCCGGCCTTTTTTTTGAGATGGAGTCTTGCTCTTGTTGCCCAGGCTGGAGTGCAGTGGCGTGATCTCGGCTCACCGCAACCTCCGCCTTTCAGATTCAAGTGATTCTCCTGCCTCAGCCTCCCAAGTAGCTGGGATTACAGGCATGCACCACCACACCTGGCTAATTTTGTATTTTTAGTAGAGACAGGGTTTCTTCATGTTGGTCAGGCTGGTCTTGAACTCCTGACCTTAGGTGATTCACCTTTCTCAGCCTCCCAAAGTGCCGGGATTACAGATGTGAGCGACCGTGCCCGGCCTCATGGTGCTTTTCTAGGGGAGGCGAAGGAGTGGTTGCTCGTGGGGGATTTTAATTTCCTGTATTTTATAGTTTGATATTGTTAAAATTTTCTCTGTGATTTTTGTAATTAAAAAAGTAAAGAGGCTAGGCGCAGTGGGTCACATCTGTAATCCCAGCACTTTGGGATGCTTAGGCAGGCAGATCACCTGAGATTGGGAGTTCAAGACCAGCCTGGGTACGTGGTGAAACCCCATCTCTACTAAAAATTCAAAAAATTAGCCCGGATGTGGTGGTGGGAGCCTGTAATCCCAGCTACTCAGGAGACTGAGGAACGAGAATTACTTGAACCTGGGAGATGGAGGTAGCAGTGAACAAAGATTGTGCCACTGTCACCCACAGCCTGGGTGACAGAGTGAGACTCCGTCTCAGAAAAAAAGTAAAGAACAACATTAAGGAAGAATTGTGTTTTTGCAGATAACTGACACTATGCAGCTTTTCTTATTGATTTTCAGCTCCCCCAAACAGGGCTCCTCCTTTGAAGTGTATGTGCACACTGATCCAAAAGACTTTGCAGACTTTGGTTACAAACAAGGAGATCCAATTATGACCGTGAAGAAGGCATATTTCACTATCCCGCAGGTAATCCCAGGAGTATTCATATGCTAGACCCTTCTCTTATTTTTCCTGTCCTATTATTGTTAATTTAAGTCGTATTTCTCTTTAAAATCTCTCTCTTTTTTTTTTTTTTAACATTCTTGGAGTATATAAAATCTCTTTTTAAGTTACTTATTTTTCTCTTTTGTACCTTTTAGGGACTTAACTATTTATGTTCTCCAGATTAATAAAACATATAGTTGCCGGGCGCGGTGGCTCAAGCCTGTAATCCCAGCACTTTGGGAGGCCGAGGCGGGCGGATCACAAGGTCAAGAGATCAAGACCATCCTGGTCAACATGGTGAAACCCCGTCTCTACTAAAGCTACAAAAAATTAGCTGGGCATGGTGGCGCGTGCCTGTAATCCCAGCTACTCAGGAGGCTGAGGCAGGAGAATTGCCTGAACCCAGGAGGCGGAGGTTGCGGTGAGCCGAGATCGCGCCATTGCACTCCAGCCGGGGTAACAAGAGCGAAACTCCGTCTCAAAAAAAAAAAAAATAAAAAAAATAAAACATATAGTCATTCTTAAATTAATCACTGTCTGCTTAAAACTTAGAGTGAACGTACAAAATAAAACCAAAAGGTTTTCTATAAGTTTCCATGGAAGTACCTATCATTTTTTCTTTTTTTTTAAAGTTAAAAACATTTTTTTTGGTTTGAGACATAGTCTTGCTCTATGACCTAGGGTAGAGTGCACCGGCGTGATCTTGACTCACTCCAGCCCTGACCTCCCGCATTCGGATGATCCTCCCTACCTCAGCCTCCCAAGTAGCTGAGACTACAGGCGTGTGCCACCATTCCTGGCTAATTTTTTTGTACAAATGGGGTTTTTCCATGTTGTCCAGGCTGGTCTCTAACTCCTGGGCTAAAGTGATTCGCCCACTTTGGCCTCCCAACGTGCTAGGATTACAGCATGAGCCGCCGCGCCCGACCAAAAATTTTTTTTTGTACAGGTGGGGGTTTCACTGTGTTGCCCAGGCCTCAAAATCCTTCTGCCTTGGCCTCCCGGTGTGTTGAGATTACAGCGTGAGCCTCAGTGCCTGGCTGGAAGTAACTATCATTCTTTATTTCTTTTTTTTTTTCTTTTTTTTTTGAGACGGAGTTTCGCTCTTGTTACCCAGGCTGGAGTGCAATGGCGCGATCTCGGCTCACCGCAACCTCCGCCTCCTGGGTTCAGGCAATTCTCCTGCCTCAGCCTCCTGAGTAGCTGGGATTACAGGCACGCACCACCATGCCCAGCTAATTTTTTGTATTTTTAGTAGAGACGGGGTTTCACCATGTTGACCAGGATGGTCTCGATCTCTTGACCTCGTGATCCACCCGCCTCGGCCTCCCAAAGTGCTGGGATTACAGGCTTGAGCCACCGCGCCCGGCCCATTCTTTATTTCTTTTTTATAAAAACTTTTAGGTTCAGGGGTACATGTGCAGGTTTGTTATATAGGTGAACTTGTGTCATGGGGTTTTGTTGTGCAGATTATTTTGTCACTCAAGCCAAGTACCCAATATATTTTTTTTCTGATCCTCTCCCTCCTCCCACCTACTACCCTCAAGTAGGCTCCAATATAAAAAGCAATGGTTAGATAAATACATCATTTTATTTGTCATTGAAACTTTGAAAAATATTTTAAGGCTCTAAGGTTTTATATGAAATCGTTTATGTATGTATGAATGAATGAGTGAATGAAGACAGGATCTTGCTCTGTCGCCTAGGCTGGAGTGCAGTGGTGCAGTCACAGCTCACTGTAGCCTCGATCTCCTGGGCTCAAGCAGTCCCCCCACGTAGCTGGGACTACAGACGCATGCCACCATGCCTGGCTAATTTTGTGTTTATTTATTATTATTATTTTTCAGTTAGAGTCTTTTCTGTTGCCTAAGCTGGAGTGCAGTGGTGCAATCTCAGCTCACTGCTACCTCCGTCTCCTGGATTCAAGCAACTCTCCTGCCTCAGCCTCCTGAATAGCTGGGATTACAGGCACGCACCACCATGCCTGGCTAATTTTTGTATATTTAGTAGCGACAAGGATTCACCATATTGGTCAGGCTGGTCTTGAATTCCTGACCTCAGGTGATCCACCCACCTTGGCCTCCCAAAGTGCTGGGATTACAGATGTGGGCCACTGCACCCAGCTTCTGCCTAGCTAATTTTTTACTTTTTGTAGAGACAGGGTCTCACTATGTTGTCCAGGTTGGTCTTGAACTCCTGAGTTCAAATGATCCTCCTACTACAGCCTTCCAAAGTGTTGGGATTACAGGTGTGAGCCACTGCTCCTGACCTGAAATCTTTTCTTTTCTTTTCTTTTTTTTTTTTTGAGATGGAGTTTTGTTCTTGTTACCTAGGCTAGAGTGTAGGGGCGTGATCTCAGCTCACTGAAACCTCTGCCTTCTGGTTTCAAGCGATTCTCCTGCCTCAGTCTCCCGAGTAGCTGAGATTACAGGCACCGTCCACCACGCCGTGGCTAATTTTTGTATTTTTAGTAGAGATGAGGCTTTACCATGTTGGCCAGGCTGGTTTTGAACTCCTGATCTCGTGATCTGCTTGCCTTGGCCTCCCAAAGTGCTGGGATTACAGGCATGAGCCACCATGCCTGGCCCTGAAATCTTTGTTAAGTTCAACATTATGAGGAATGATATTTGTGGGAAGAAAGCGTGGAAAGTGAAACAGTTTCTCTTTCCTGTTCATATGAATCCATTTTTATGGTATTAAACTCTGGTGGTGCTGAGGGAGAGAACATGAGGTTTACTGTAATCATGTCTCTGCAAAGTAAACAGAACATGACAAGGGATTTTCTTTTTCTTTCTTTCTTTCTTTTTTTTGACACAGAGTCTTGCTCTGTCTCCCCAAGCTGGAGTGCAGTGGCGTGATCTCTGCTCACTGCAACCTCTGCCTCCCGGGTTCAAGTGATTCTCCTGCCTCAGCCTCCCAAGTAGCTGGAACTACAGGCATGTGCCACCATGCCCGGCTAATTTTTTGTATTTTCGGTACAGATGGGGTTTCACCGTGTTAGCCAGGATGGTCTCAATCTGCTGACCTTGTGATCCGCCCTCCTTGGCCTCCCAAAGTGCTGGGACTACAGGTGTGAGCCACCGCATCTGGCCTCTTTGTTTTTATTAGATAATATTTGCTGTGACTCCACAACCAATGGCTTCCAGACCTTGATGGGCAAATCAGTTGAGTGTTTTGCTAAAGCTGGTCAACTAGTCAGTGAACTTGCCATTGCTGAAACCAGACCAGCAATGGGAGCAGGCTGCAGAAAGAACAATAAGGGACGCTGATCTATTTTGTATGATTAGGAGAGAGGCCGTAAATCTGTTGGCTTTGCCCTTCACCCTCAGGTGTCCCTGGCTGGGCAGTGCATGCAGGAAGCTCCAGTGGCATTTCTTCACAATTTTGATGTTAAATGCGTTACTAATTTGGAAGCATACCAAGAACGAGATGGTGTTATCAATGAGAAGATCAAGAATGTTGCCTTAGGAGGTATGTTACATTTCTTTGAAAAAAAGAACACAGACCCAAGCATGAAGATAAGCTATGATCTCATGAGAGTATAAATCATTTTTACTGGTTCAGCTTCAAATAATATTTTAACTGCTAATTGTTTAGTTCCGTAAGACAGCATGTTGCATATTAAATATTTTGAAATTGAAGTAAAATTCAAATAACATAAAATTAACCTTTTTGTTTGTTTGATTTGAGACGGAGTCTCGCTCCATTGTGCAGGCTGGAGTGCAGTGGCGCAATCTCTGCTTACTGCATCCTCCGCCTCCTGAGTCCAAGCGATTCTGCCTCAGCCTCCCGAGTAGCTGGGACTACAGGTGCCTGCCACCATGCCTGGGTAATTTTTGTATTTTTATTATAGATGGGGTTTCACCATGTTGGCCAGGCTGGTCTTGAACTCCTAACCTCAGGTGATCCACCCTCCTAGGCCTCCCAAAGTGCTCGGATCACAGATGTGAGCCACTGCACCCTACCAGAATGAACCATTTTAAAGTGTACAATTCAGTGACATTTAGGACCTTCCATACTGTTATGCCACCATTACCTTTTTATAGTTCCAGAACATTCCATCATCTCAGAAGGGCATCTGTACCGATTAGCAGTCACGCGCCACTCCTCTATCTCAGCCCCTGCAGCCACCAATCTGCTTTCTGTCTGCATGGATTGCTTATTCTGGATGTTTCCTAGAAATAGAAGCATACATATGTGGCCTTTTGTGTCTGGCTTCTTCACTTAGTGTGGTGTTCCGTGGCTCATCCATGTTCCGGCGTGTGTCACACTTTGCTCCTTTTTATGGCTGAGTCATAGTCCATCCTATTGACAGACCACATTGTGTTTGTCCGTTCGTCAGTTGATGGGCATGTGGATTGTCTTGATATCTCGACTGTTTTAAAGAGCACTGCTATAAACACTCGTGTACAAGTTTTTTCATAGATGTGTGTTTTCATTTCTTTTGGGTAGACACCTAGGAGTGGAACTGACACGTCATGCTAATATGACTTCTTGAAGACCCACCAAATTGTTCTCTACAATGTCTGCACCATTTTTTATTGCCACCAGCGGTGAACTGCATATTTGTTTCTACGTCACAGTCACCCTGTTTTTTGTTTGTTTGTTTATTGTGGATTTTCCTCCTCAGTTATAATTAGATGCAAAGAGGACTGGGACTCCTATCTGATGGTTTTTGGGGAGTGGGGAGAGTTTTGCGGTTGGCAGCCTGGGCAGGTTTATTTGCATTGTTTGCTTGATGAGCTGTACTTTGCCTGAGTAAGTGTGATCGTGGTAGGCCGTGTTACTCCTGTGGAAGTTAATTTATGTCTCTCTTAGGCATAGTTACACCAAAAGTCATCTATGAGGAAGCAACTGACCTAGACAAATTCATCACCAGGACAGGTATTTAATGTTACACTTTGAGATCATTTCTTCAGAAACAGATGTGTCATTTCTTACGAGTAATATATAGCCCCAGAGTATATGCTTTTATTAGTCACTTAAAAAGGTTCACAATAGTTAGGAGACTATGCCAGGAGCATTTCATTTGCTCCTTGTTCTGTCTTGCTGGGCTTTGGAGTACTCTCTGGCCTGTTCCTCCACAGTCCTGGCTTCTGTGAGTTCCACCATCCCTGCTAGTTCCAGCTTCCATGAACCTTTCCTTAAATGTTTGATAGTTAAGGAATTCTTTTTTTTTTTTTTGAGACGGAGCTTCGCTCTTGTTACCCAGGCTGGAGTGCAATGGCGCGATATCGGCTCACCACAACCTCCGCCTCCTAGGTTCAGGCAATTCTCCTACCTCAGCCTCCTGAGTAGCTGGGATTACAGGCACGCGCCACCATGCCCAGCTGTTTTTTTGTATTTTTAGTAGAGACGGGGTTTCACCATGTTGACCAGGATGGTCTCGATCTCTTGACCTCGTGATCCACCCGCCTCGGCCTCCCAAAGTGCTGAGATTACAGGCGTGAGCCACTGCGCCCGGTGTTAAGGAATTCTTTAGGACACAGCATGTTCACATCTTGCTTTCTTTCCTTTTTTTTTTTTTTTTTTTTTTAAGATAATTAAATTTTGCAATTGCAATACAGCCAAATAAGTTATGTAGAGTTTGGCTGCTTTTTTTTTTTTTTTCTGAGATAGAGTCTTGCTCTGTCACGCAGGCTGGAGTGCAGTGGTGTGATCTTGGCTCACTGCAGCGTTCACATCCTGGGTTCAAATGATTCTTCTGCCACAGCCTCCTGAGTAGCTGGGATTACAGGTGCTTGCCACCACACCTGGCTAATTTTTTGTATCTTTAGTAGAGACAAGGTTTCGCCATGTTGGCCAGCCTGGTTTCAAACTCCTGACCTCAAGTGATCCACCTGCCTCAGCCTCCCAAAGTGCAGGGATTACAAGTGTGAGCCACTGTGTCTGGCTGATTTTGGCTGATTTTACCAGGAATTTAATTTTTAATGAAGGATATATGTGATTCTTTTCTTTTTACTAATTGGAGACAGAGTCTTGCTCTGTCGCCCAGGCTGGAATGCAGTAGCATGTTCTCACCTCACTGTAACCTCCACCTTCCAGGTTCAAGTGATTCTCCTGCCTTAGGCTCCTGAGTATCTGGGATTACAGTCAGCTGCCACCACTCCTGGCTAATTTTTGTATTTTTAGTAGAGACGGCATTTCACCTTGTTGCCCAGGCTGGTCTCAAACTCCTGACCTAAGGTGATCCACCTGCCTTGGTCTCCCAAAGTGCTTGGTGTCTCTTTCTGATGTGTTATAATTCTCAAATGTATTCATTAGCTCATCAAATATTAGCGGAGTTCCTACGCTATAGTAAGGAATTAGACAGCCAGCCCCTGCCTTATGGAAGTGACCCTCTGGTCTTTCATCTCACAAACATTTTGCCAAGTGTGTGCTCCATGGCAAGCTATGAGCCAGGTGCTGGGGACACAGAAATGAAAGGGACAGATCTCATTCTGGGTACCGTGATGGCATAGAGGAGGCAGCGAATGCTGATTTGGTGGGCCAGGGCAGGCTTCCTCGAGGAATCAGTGACCAGGGTATGTTAGGGAAAGGGAGATAGGGAGGGCAGGGGCAGGCACTCAGGGAAGGCCACACAGGCAGAGGGAGTTTCCCAGTAATAGAGTTAAGCTCAAAGAGGGTCTTTAATTTATGAACATTTTCTTGTATTTGCAGAAGCTCCTTTAAATAATGGATCATCCCTCAGAATCGTGAATGTGGAAGAACATTATATTTTCAAATGGAATAACAATACAATCAGTGAAATAAATGTCAAGATTATTAGGGCAGAGATTAATGCCCACCAGAAAGGTAACTTTGATGAGGGTAGCAAGCATGCTTTCACTGAAAAGTATTGTTTTTTCTTTGTTCAAGTTTCTCATAATTATAACCCATAAAACTCAGTCAGACTTGTTTCTATGTGCATTTATGATTTAATCAATGAGTATATTTTGCATGTCAGAATGCAATTTTACGTAAGACACTATGGAGAATAATTTCTTTTCCTAGTGAAATGATACATGTTATATTTTTATTTTGTTTTATTTTTAGGGATATTGACGCAGAGATTTGTCGTAAAATTTTTAAGCTATAATAGTGGTAATGAGGAGGAATTATCTGGAAATCCAGGTAAGATGAGTATATGACAGTCATTGATCTTACAAACATATTTTAGTTTGATACTCCCAGCCACCATCAGGATGATTATAAGTAACTCTCTCCAGTTTTAGTTGCTGACCTTTTTCTTATTCTCTCTCTCTTTTTTTTGAGACAGGGTCTTGCTCTGTTGCCCAGGCTGGAGTGCGGTGGTGTAATTTCGGCTCACTGCAACCTCTGCCTCCTGGGTTCAAGCAGTTTTCCTGCCTCAGCCTCCTGAGTAGCTGGGATTATAGGTGCATACCACCATGCCTGGTAATTTTTTTTTTTTTTTTTGTTTAACCACACAACACAGAAAGCTTTATTTATCTGCTACTTCTCCAAAGAGAGGCTCGCAGGGTCGCTCACTTTAATATAATGTTTATACTTTTAGTAGAGACAGGGTTTCACCCTGTTGTCCAGGCTGGTCTTGAACTCCTGACTTTAAGTGATCCCCTGGCCTTAGCCTCCCAAATGTTGTGATTACAGGCATGAGCCACTGCCCAGCCTCTTTATTCTCTGTTGTAACACTGTATTCTTCTTATTTATTTTTTGAGACAGAGTTTCCCTCTTGTCACCCAGAATGGAGTGCAATGGCACGATTCGGGCTCACTGCAACCTCTACCTCCTGGGTTCAAATGATTCTCCTCCAAGTAGCTGGGATTACAGGCGCCTACCACCACGCTCAGCAAAGTTTTGTACTTTTAGTAGAGATGGGGTTTTGCCGTGTTGGCCAGACAGGTCTTGAATGCCTGACCTCAGGTAATCCACCCACCTCAGACTCCTAAAGTGCTGGGATTACAGGTGTGAGCCACCACGCCTGGCCGACATGGTATTCTTTTTGTGATAGCAACATAATTTTTTTTTACATAGTCTGTTGTATATAGTAACATGTTGTTGTAAATGTGAAGCATTCTTTGTCTTTAGTTACTGGTTTTTTGAGAGACATAATACATTTAAAATGTCGATAAAATTATTATTATTTTTTTGAGACAGAGTCTCACTCTATCACCCAGGGTGGAATGCAGTGGTTATGATCACAACTCACCGCAGCCTTAACCTCCCAGGCTGAAGTGATCGTTTCACCTCAGCCTCCCAAGTAGTTGGAACTGTAGATGTGTGCCACCACGCCTGGCTCATTTTTGTATTTTTTGTAGAGATGGAGTCTTTGCTGGCTGGGCGTGGTGGCTCACACCTGTAATCCTAACACTTTGGAAGGCTGAGGTGGGCAGATTGCTTGAACTAAGGAGTTCGAGACCAGCTTGGGCAACACGGTGAAACCCCGTCTCTACAACAGTACAAAAAATTAGACAGGTGTGGTGGCGTGTGCCTGTAGTCCCAGCTACTTGGGAGGCTGAGGCACAAGAATTGCTTGAACCTGGTAGATGGAGGTTGCAGTGAGCTGAGATCTCACCACTGCACTACAGGCTGGGTGACAGAGCTAGACTTTGTCTCCAAAGAAAAAAAAGAAAAAGCTAAAAAAGAAGAGATAGGGTCTTGCTATGTTTCCTGGCTGGTCCCAACCTTCTGGGCTCAAGTGGGCTGGGCTGCCCACTTCAGCCTCCTAAAGTGTTAGGATTACAGGTGTGAGCTGCCATTGCTGGCCTAAAATTAACTTTTTAAGAAATAATGGAGGCCAGGCTTGGTGGCTCACGCCTGAAATCCCAGCACTTTGGGAGGCCAAGGCTGGAGGATGGCTTGAGCCCAGGAGTTGGAGACCAGCCCTGGCAACATAGTGAGACCCTGTCTATACAAACAGATTTAAAAAAAATTAACTAGGCCGGGAGCGGTGGCTCAAGCCTGTAATCCCATCACTTTGGGAGGCCGAGGCGGGTGGGTCACGAGGTCAAGAGATCGAGACCATCCTGGTCAACATGGTGAAACCCCGTCTCTACTAAAAATACAAAAAATTAGCTGGGCATGGTGGTGCGTGCCTGTAATCCCAGCTACTCAGGAGGCTGAGGCAGGAGAATTGCCTGAACCCAGGAGGCGGAGGTTGTGGTGAGCCGAGATCGCGCCATTGCACTCCAGCCTGGGTAACATGAGTGAAACTCTGTCTCAAAAAAAAAAAAAAAAAAAATTAACTGTGTGTGGTGGCACTTGCCTATAGTCCCAGCTACTCAGGAGGCTGAGGTGGAAGGAGGGCTTGAGCCTGGGGAGTTAAGCCTGCAGTGAGGCCAGGAAGTTGAGGCTGCAGTGAGCTGTGATCACACCACTGCACTCCAACCTGGGCAACAGAATGAGACCCTATTTAAAAAAAAAAATAGTTAAGAGCCAGAGCTGAGCAAACAGTGAAAAACCCAAGATAAAAAATCAATGCCGGACTTAACGCACAGGTGCACAGGTACTCTAGAACTTCGGAGGAGGAGAAAGTTAATCATTGAACCAAACTTCTCTTTTTTTTGAGATGGAGTCTTGCTCTGTCCCCTAAGCTGGAGTGGTGCAATCTTGGCTTACTGCAACCTCTGCCTCCCAGGTTCGAGTGATTCTCCTGCCCCAGCCTCCTGAGTAGCTGGGACTACAGGCATGAGCTACCATACCTGGCTAATTTTTGTATTTTTAGTAGAGACGGGGTTTTGCCATGTTGGCCAGGCTCGTCCTGAACTCCTGACCTCAAGTGATCCACCTACCTCAGCCTCCCAAAGTACTGGGATTATAGGCATGAGCCACTGCTCCCAGCTATTGAACCAAACTTCTGATCCTTAAGGAGCTTTGTTGAGTGTCCAGTTTGCGTGAGGCATTGCTCTCAGTGCTGGAGGTAAAGCAGTGAGTCCGTGCCCTTGGTGAGTTTCCATCCTGGGGTTGTGCGGAGGGGTTGTGCCTTGAAGAGCAGATGGTGCGTATTGGGACCAGGGGTAACCTGAGTGAAGCCTAGGAGGCAGATATGAGCATGAAATACACATGGCAAGGCTGGGTGTTCAGCAATGTTGGGACGTAAAGCTGGAAACACAAAAATGATGCATGAGTCTGATTGGACCCTGTTTTTTGTTTGTTTTTTTCAAGAAAGACTGGGTTTCTCCATATTGGTCAGGCTGGTCTCGAACTTCTAACCTCAGGTGATCCACCCACCATGGCCTCCCAAAGTGCTGGGATTACTGGCGTAAGCCACCATGCCCGGCCTAATTTTGTATTTTTAGTAGAGTTGGGGTTTCTCCTTGTTGGCCAGGCTGGTCTTGAGCTCCTAACCTCAGGTGATCCACCCACCTTGGCCTCCCATGGTGCTGAGATTACAGGCATGAGCCACTGCACCTAGCTTTCCACAGCTTATTTTAAATGGTCCTGCAAAAAAATCCCATATGTATATGTACATGTTTATCTAATTTGAGCATCTCTAATCTGAAAATCTGAAATCCAAAGTGCTCTAAAATCTGAAATCCAAAGTGCTCTAAAATCTAAGACTTTTGGATCACCGACATGGTGCCACAAGGGGGAAATTCCACACTGACACCTTTGCTTTCTGATGGTTCAGTGTCCACAAACTTCATGTGCAAATTTTCTTGTACAAAATTATTAAAAATATAGTATAAAATTACCTTCAGGCTATATGTATAACATGTATATGGAACATAAATATCATGTTTAGTCTTGGGTCTCGCCCTCAAGATAACCTGTTTTTTTTTTTTGAGATGAAGCCTCACTCTGTGGCCCAGGCTGGAGTTCAGTGGTGCGATTTTAGCTCACTGCAACCTCCGCCTCCTAGGTTCAAGTGATTCTCATGGCTCAGTTTCCTGAGTAGCTGGGATGACAGACCTGTGCCACCATGCCTGGCTAATTTTTGTATTTTTAGTAGAGATGGGATTTTGCTGTCTTGGCCAGGCTGGTCTTGAACTCCTGACCTCAAGTAATCTGTCCATCTCGGCCTCTTAAAGTGCTGAGATTATAAGCTTGAGCCACGGCGCACAGCCAAGACTCAGGAATATGCAAACATTCCAAAATCGGAAAAAATTCCAAACACTTCTGGTCTCAAGCATTTCAGATAAGGGATGCACAACCTGTATGATATAGTTAAGATCAATATGGCCAAATATTAACAAAGTTGATTTTGATGTGGTTGTATTGACATTCATGGTATTACTTTCAACTTTTCTGTACATGTGAACATTTTCATAGTAAAATATTGGAAGTAATAAGTTGCATTAATAGGAGATGGATAGGAATATGACCTAGCAACAGACCTTGGGGTTGAATGGATTTACTGGGAAAAGGTTCTATTGAAAGATTATGGTCGGGCGCAGTGGCTCACACCTTTAATCCTAGCACTTTGGGAGGCTGAGGCAGGTGCATCACTTGAGGTCAGGAGTTAGAAGCCAGCCTGGCCAACTTGGGGAAACCCCGTCTCTATTAAATATTCAAAAAAATAGCCTGAGGTGGCGGTGGGCACCTGTAATCTCAGCTATTTGTGAGGCCGAGGCAAGAGAATCACTTGAGCCCAGGAGGCAGAGGTTGCAGTGAGCCGAGATCACACCACTGCACTCCAGCCTGGGTGACAGAGTGAGAATCCATTTAAAAAAAAAAAAGATTACTTTGGTTTAAATGTCTTCTATGAGCCCCTGTAATAAGCAGTATTATCATTCAGCAAGTGTTCCTTCACTGGCTTGATAAGCACCTCTGTGTCTTTGCAGGAGAGGTCCAAGACTGACTCATGCCTGCAATTTATTTTTCAGGTTTTATTGTTAAAATGTATTTTTTATATTGAATGAATGTCCTTGTCTGTTAAAAAAAAAAAAAAAAAAAGGGGCTGGGCATGGTGGCTCATGCCTGTAATGCCAGCATTTTGGGAGGCCGAGGTGGGCGGATGATGAGGTCAGGAGTTCGAGACCAGCCTGGCCAACATGGTGAAACCCCCGTCTCTACAAAAATGCAAAAATTAACATGATAGTGGGTGCCTGTAGTCCCAGCTACTCGGGAGGCTGAGGTGGGACAATCGCTTGAACCCAGGAGGTTCATCATGTATTTCTCTTTTGTATTGTTTGCTGAGTTATGGCTTGCTATGCTAGAGTATAGGCGGAAACATGCTTATTCTCCTTTGTCATGTTTGTCTAGGTTACCAACTTGGAAAGCCTGTCCGAGCTCTAAATATCAACAGGACGAATAATGTCACAACTTTACATCTTTGGCAGTCAGGTAATCCGGTTTGATCATTTTGATTAGCCTTCTGGCAAACTGGTGTTAGAAGTATTTTTTTTTTTTTTTTTTTGAGATGGAGTTTCGCTCTTGTTACCCAGGCTGGAGTGCAATGGCGCTGTCTCGGCTCACCGCAACCTCCGCCTCCTGGGTTCAGGCAATTCTCCTGCCCCAGACTCCTGAGTAGCTGGGATTACAGGCACACGCCACCATGCCCAGCTAATTTTTTGTATTTTTAGTAGAGACGGGGTTTCACCATGTTGATCAGGATGGTCTCGATCTCTTGACCTCATGATCCACCCGCCTCGGCCTCCCAAAGTGCTGGAATTACAGGTGTGAGCCACCACGCCTGGCCCAGAAGTATTTTTTATTTTGTATATTGCAGTATGTAGTAATCTAATCAAGCGCTCAATTATTTTAAAGCCTGGTTGGCTTATTTAGCAGGAGAGGTACATGCTGCTGAATAACAGTGGTGGTGGTTTTTCATGCTTCTACAGCTTTTTAAGGAGAAATGCTAAGCTTGTTTGCACCTGAAGTGCTGGTTGCTAGTAAAAGAGATTTAAATAGGAGATTGGCTTGAGAGTCCCATGCTGTTCTTGCCTATAGCCCAGGATGGTGCTAATTGGAGACAGGAGAATAACTTCATTCTGAACTATGGGAAATCGGTGGTCAGTGATCATTACCAACATCTGCCAGAGGCAATATCATTTTCTGAAGAAACCGTCAGAAACCACCGCTCAGGGTCTGGGAATTCTGATACAAAAAGGCATCTTTGTTCAGCTTTGAAAGGATTAGATTAACAGTGATCTCAGCTTTTGAAAACTGGAAACTTTATTTTACTTACTACTTTCTCCCTGTTTTTCAAGAAAACCTTTGAAGTTAATCTTTTATTTAGCAAAAAGTAGCAAGAGGATAATCTTTTTCTTTTATAGCTGGAAGGGGTTTGTGTACATCAGCAAATTTCAAACCCATTTTATTTGGAGAAAATGCACTCTCTGGATGCCTGTTAGAAGTTGGGATTAATGAAAATTGTACACAGCTCAGGTGAGTATTTCATTGATGAATTTATCTGCAATGTGAATGATTTTCTTAAAATTAATTCATGACCAGGCACAGTGGTTCAACGCCTGTAATCCCAGCACTTTGGGAAGCTGAGGCGGGTGATCACGAGGGCAGGAGTTTAAGACCAGCCTGACCAAGATGGCAAAACCCTGTCTCTACTAAAATACAAAAGTTAGCTGGGCACAGTGGCAGGCGCCTGTAATCCCAACTACTCGGGATGCTGAGGCAGTAGAATCACTTGAACCTGGGCGGCAGAGGTTGCAGTGAGCTGAGATTGTGCCACTGCACTCCAGCCTGGGCAACAGAGTGAGAGTCCATCTGAAAAAAAATTGATTCACTACATGAATATCAAAGACAACATTAATTATGAAAAATTAGAGTCAATTAAAACTTGTAAAAGTGATAATAAATAAATGCAGACATGTAATACAATTTAGAGTTGATTCAAACATCAATATGAGGGAAAATAGACCTCTTTCTTGGGACTAAAGCCAGTTCATCCAAATTTAAGCAAATTTCTCTGCCAAAGTTTGTTCGGCTCACTGGAACCTCTTTTTTTTTGTTGTTGAGATGAATTCTCGCTTTGTCACCTAGGCTGGAGTGCAGTGGCGCAATCTCAGCTCACTGCAGCCTCTGCCTCCCTGGTTCAAGTGATTCTCCTGCCTCAGGCACCCTGAGTAGCTGGGATTACAGGCATGCACCACCACACCTGGCTGATTTTTTTTGTATTTTTAGTAGAGACGGGGTTTCACCATGTTGGTCTTGAATTCCTGACCTTAAGTTACCTGCCCACCAAGGCCTCCCAAAGTGCTAGGATTACAGGTGTGAGCCACCACACCCAGCCTCATTGGAACCTTATACTCCTAGAGCTATGAAAAAGGCCAGGACAAGGTATAATTGGGGTGATTAACGTTTTTGTTTTTGAGACAGGGTCTCATTGTGTCGCCCAGGCTTGGGTGCAGTGGTACAATCATGGCGTACTGCAGCCTCAACCTCCCCAGGCTCAGTAGGTCCACCTGCTTTGGCCTCCTAAAGTGCTGGGATTATAGGCGTGAGCCACTGTGCCTGGCCTATATTCTGTTTTTGTATTTTTTGGACAGTAGCCATCCTAATAGATAAGAAGTGGTATCTCATTGTGGTTTTGCTTGCATGCATTCTTTTTAGCTTGCCTTTTTTTTTTTTTTTGAGACAAGATCTCACTCTCATCCAGACTGGAGCGCAGTGGTGTGACCACGGCTCACTATAGCCCGACTCCGCTCAGCTCAGGTGATCCTCCCACTTCAGACTCCCAAATATCTTGAAGTACAGGTGTACCTCAATGCCTGGCTGATTTTTCATATTTTTTGTAGAGATGGGGTTTCACCATGTTGCTCAGGCTGGTCTCAAACTCCTGGGCTCAAACAATCCACCTGCCTGGGCCTCCCAAAGTGTTGGGGTTACAAGTGTGAGCCATTGTGCCTGGCCTGCGTGCATTCTTACACACATTTTATCTTTGCATATCCCAAGATGTGTAGTTCTTTGGGGAGCAGGAAGAAAATGCAGGAGACATTGAGAAGTTAAGGAAAACTGGTATAAATTGTTGGCAGCAGCTCCTGATTATGGGTTGTGAGGTCTGAGTCCATGGGCAGAGACCCTCTCCCGCAGTTCCTGAGATTTGTGCCCTCCACTGACAGTGCCGGGAAGGAGGAGGGATGCTATGTTCCAACGCTTAGTCTTCACTTAATTTTAAGACTCAAAATCCCAGCTAGATATTTAGATTACTTTTATTATTGGATCACTCTGGCCCACCAATTTATCCTGGTAACTTGATGTATGCTCTAACTACCTCCTAAGTTTGGTGACTGTCAGCAGAATCTTTGAGCCATGCGATCCCAACTTGTTACTAACATTTTTTTTTTTTTTTTTTGAGACAGGGTCTTGCCATGTTACCCATGCTGCAGTGCAGTAGTGTGATCTCGGCTCACTGCAGCCTCAACCCTGCAAGGCTCATGCACTCTTCCCACCTTAGCCTCCCAAGTAGTTGGGACTATAGGCATGTGCCATCACGCCTGGCTAATTTTTGTATTTATAGTAGAGGCAGGGTTTTGTTATATTGCCCAGGTTGGTCTTGAACTCTTGAGCTCAAGGAATCCTCTGACCTTAGCCTCCCAAAGGGTTGGGATTACAGCCGTGAGCCACTGCTCCTGGCTAAATTACTAACATTTTAAGTCTAAAGTAAAAGATTGCTTCTCTATGTCCTCCTCCAGCTGTGTACGTCCATCCTGGGAAGGCCATCAAACATACCCATTCCATGGGTGACACCCTGCCAGTTTTTAATGCGGGTTCCTCTGGCAGTTTTTTTTTTAAGGCATAGTTTCACTCTTGTTGCCCAGGCTGGACTGCAATGGTGCAATCTTGGCTCACCACAACCTTCGCCTCCCAGGTTCGAGCTATTCTCCTGCCTCAGCCTCCTGAGTAGCTGGGATTACAGGCATGTGCCACCCCGCCTGGCTAATTTTATATTTTTAGTAGGTAGGCTTTCTCCCTGTTGGTCAGGCTGGCTTTGAACTTCCACCCTCAGGTGATCGCCTGCCTCAGCCTCTCAAAGTGCTGGGATTACAGGCATGAGCCACTGCGCCAGGCCCCTCTGGCAGTTTTTCATTTAGGCACTTGGAAGTGAAACCTGGACATTCATTGGAAAGGACTTTAGGACAAGACCTGCTGGCCATGAGCTGAGAAATGTCTTATTCTCTTGCAGGGTGAGTGCTGTTGAAAGACTTGATTCATTAATACAAGCGACTCATGTTGCAATGAGAGGCAACTCCGATTACACTGATCTTAGTGATGGCTGGCTTGAAATAATACGTAAGTCAAAGTGGGTTACAATAAAGCCTATAACTTGGTTGCTATGATTGCCAACTGTAGTTGCAGCATTAGGGCCCAACCGAGTAAGTAGGTCATCTTCCTGAGGCTTAACTACGCTTAACTGGATGTTTGTTCAAGGGTTAGCTCTCCAGGCAGGAAACTTGGCATGCCTTTTTCTTCTTATTCATGATACCTTTTTTGTTTTTAGAGACAGGGTCTTATTCTGTCACCCAGGCTGGTGTGTGCAGTGGTGCAATCACAGCTCACTGCAGCCTCATCCTCCCAGGCTCAAGAGATCCTCCCGCCTCAGCCTCCCAAGTAGCTGGCACTACAAGTGTGTGCCACCATATCTGGCTAATTTTTTGCATTATTTGTAGAGGTGGATTTTGCCATGTTGCTCAGGCTGGTCATCAACTCCTGGGCTCAAGTGATCTGCCCACCTCAACCTCTCAAAGTGTTGAGATTACAGGCATGAGGCACTGAGCCTGGCCAACAACAATCTTTGTAAAAAGGCTGGGAACAGTGGCTCATGCCTATAATCTCAGCACTTTGGGAGGCCAATGCAAGAGGATTGCTTGAGGCCAGGAGTTTAAGACCAGCCTGGGCAACATAGTGAGACCTTGTCTCTACAAAAAGTTTAAAAAATTAGGGGTGGTGGCATGTCCCTGCAGTCACTGCTACTTGGGATGCTGGGGAAAGAGGATTGCTTGAGCCCAGGAGTTTGAGGCTGCAGTGATGAGCTCTGATTACACCACCGCACTCCAACCTGGATGACAGAGCAAGATCCTCACTCTAAAAATAAAACAAAATAAAATAAAATACATTGAAACAAAGTCCAAGCGAGGTTTGAAGATTTTTAGTATGTATAGAGACAGCAGATTAGTGGATGCCAGAGGCTGAGGAGTTGGGAGGAAATGGGGAGAGACTGCCATGGATAAAGGATTTCTTTCTTTGCAGAGCAATAAAATGTTCTAAAAGAGAATCTGCTGATTGTTACACAGCTTTGTGACTATACCAGAAACCATCGAATTATACACTTTAAGTGGGTAGAGTGTATAGCATATCAGTTATATCTCAATAAAGTTGTTAAGAAAAAAAGTAATTAAGGTAGAACAGATCTAATAACAGCAGGGATCATGGGGGCCAGATTAAAAGACTTGACAGCCCAGTGCCTTTGGCCAAAGGTATTTGCAGTGTTGAGCTGGCAAGTAGATCGCATGCAAAGGGAAGAAGGCACACCACATGCACATGGAGTAAAGGTTAGGCAGACTTTACAGCTTCTTCACCAGCCCCAATTTCACCTCAAATCCCAAATGTCCTTTGAGTCATGGAGATCCAGCTCATTGGATTATGTTGGAGAGGCCTAAGGTCACAGTGAGTTTTGGCAGAGTTAGAATGAACACCCAGGGTTCCAACCTCTTTTCTCTGTTCCCTGATAGTAAGTTAAGTAACGTCTTCCCAGTTTCTTAGGGAGTCTTGAATGTGTAAATATGTTGAAGAGAAAACTTATTTTATTGAGCTAATTAATGGAATTGCCTTTTGGGGCCAGAAAGAGCCAGTGACTGTGCGTCTCTGCTTTCCCCTGCCTTGCTCTCCCTGCACACATTGCTGTGCCCCCCTTCTCTGCCTGGGGAGCAGCCCTCTGGATCCTGCCCTTGCCCTTTCCATCCCCTCTGAGGTCAGCTGGGCTCAGTGGGCTGGAATTCACACAAGGGCCCATCCAGACACACACTCATGTATTGTGCCTGCTCCTTGTGATTGGGGTCATGGTGATGAGGACCCTCCCTGCCCTCGTGGTGGTCATGGATCATGTGATATGTCTGTGAGCTTGAGATGCCCCAGACCACTCTCTGACTTGAGGAGGGAGTCCTGTTGGACCCCTACCTCCACAGGGCCCTCAGGCTGCTGTTTGCTTATCCAGCTGGTGCTCAGGGCATGGGCCCAGACCCAGATCTTCATTTGCAAATGGAATCCAGAGGCCGAGCTTGTCAAGCGCTGGGCTCTGCCACCCAGGCCATATAGATAGGCTATGGGATGACCCTGAGGGCTGGAGAGAAGTCAGCACTTGGGAAATAAAAAGTAGGGGAAATGTCTAGATGGAGAACCCAGGTTGGTTAGTTACGAAATCAGTGTGGTAATGACATTTTGTTGCCTTCAAGGTGGAAGGGATTAGCTTTTATTTAATGTCTGAGCCAAAATGCAACCTTGATCCTGGTTAATAAGCAGAGGAGAAGTGGTGTTGACACATGTATAAAGAAATTACGCATAAAAACGGTGCTACTGACCTTCAGAATTCCTGAAGGAGCAAAGACCCCCCTTCAGAGGAGACATAGAACCTACCCCACTTCCTCTCATTGACCTTGCTGGGTTTTCTCATGAGTGCTAGTTTTCAAGGTGAATGAAAATTAATTTCTCATTCAATTTCATTCTCTTCCAATTTATATTATGATAACGCATTAGGAAATTACTTATCTATCTAATACATCCTAAAGTTGTTAGTATGGATTTTGGGTTTGTAAAATTTTTAATTATTATTATTTTTGAGATGGAGTCTCACTTTGCTGCCCAGGCTGGAGTGCAGTGGCATGATCTCTCTTCACTGCAACCTCCACCTCCCAGGTTGAAGCGATTCTCCTGCCTCAGCCTCCCAAGTAGCTGGGATTACAGGTGTGAGCCACTGTGACCGGCTGATTTTTATTTTTTGAGATGAGGTTCTCACTCTGTGTCCAGGCTGAAGTGTAGTGGTGCCATGGTGCCATCACTGCAGCCTTGACGTCCCAGGCTGCAGCAATCCTCTCACCTTAGCCTCCTGGGTAGCTGGGACTACAGGTATGTGGCACCTTGCCTGGGTATTTTTTTTCTCTAAAAGATGGGGTTTTGCTATGTTGCCCAGGCTGGTTTCAAACTCCTGGGCTCAAGCAGTCCTTCTACCTCGACTTCCCAAAGTGCTAGTATTACAGGTGTGAGCCACTGTGCCTGGCCTAAAGTTGTTAGTATGAATTTTAAATGTCTTACACAGCTTTTGCTAGAACTGTGACTGCATGGAAAGATTATGGCATTTTACCGCAATTATACATGTTTTGTTAAAAGGCTGGGTAGATTTCAGTGGGGAGCTTGAAAACTGAATCATGATTTATGGCTTTAATATGTGAGTCGGGGCTTTTAAGTTCCAGTGATTGGCTTAACATACAAGGAAACATGTTAAACACAGTTTTTGGTAGGTGGTGCCATCCTATGCCTTGTAGACTTCAAGGGATAACACAGTTATGGACTGAGAAGTAACCAGAGCCTGTAAGAGACTAAAGCCTCATTAATGTGATGCTTACCTAATATTATTTCCCATTTTGGTTAGGAAAACATCAAATCGTAAGAAAACTTATCAAATTATTCTTTGAAAAGTGTGAACTTAACATTTCCGTAGGTGTAGATGCCCCTGATCCGGGTGTGGACCCGCCGGCTGGCAGTGTGAACGGCATCTGCCTGGATATTCCTGCTCAGCTGAGCATCCGCATCCTCATCTCAGATGCTGGCGCAGTGGAAGGGATTACTCAGCAGGAGATACTTGGCGTAGAGACAAGGTATGATCACATCTTGGATCACTGTAGTTTAGAGAGTGTCAGGAAAGTTGAGGATGTTCTGAACAATAGGGAAATGCTCACTTAGAATCTGATTGTTTATTTACAACTTGCAATTATTAGCAAGATGTTTATATGCAGAAATGGAATATGTATGAACTATGGTGACTTGGTCTCACAAGTATTTATAAAGCTATGTGTAAAAGATTCTGCAAGGTATTTTAGGGAGTACAAAGAAGAATAAGGGCTACTCAGTGCTAAGTATATTTTGAAATCCATGAATGTAACTGACATGCTGATCAGAGAATATTGCCTGTGGTTAGAGACTTTGGCAGCAGATAAGTTCCAATCATGGCTGTCCCACTGAGGAGCTGTGTGGCACTAGGCAATCACTTAACCTTTCTGAGCTGTAGTTTCCTCCCCTGCAATATGGTGATAATATCTTTATGTATCAAGCCTCCATCAATTTTAAGTGACAGGTGCCCAATTCATACTGACTTAAGCAAAAAGGGGAGTTTTTTGGTTCAAGTTCAGAGTAATCCACATGCAGCTAGTTCATGGTTCATGGTTCCAGTGTGGTCAGGGATCTTTTTATTTTCTTTCTCCTCTTCCTTTGGGTTGGCTTCATTCTCAGGGAGGTTCTCCTCAAGAGATGGCAAAGATGAACACCAGCAATCCAGGCTTATGTCACTGCGGCAAGTCCAGTGGGAAGAGACCCTCCTTCCTCCTCGTTCTCAAAATAGATCCGGGCAGACTTTTATTGGTTCAGTTTGGGTCACATGCTCCTTTCTAAACCAATTCCCATGGCTGGGGCAATGGACAGCTCTAACTGACTAGGCTCAGATGATAGGTGCACCTCTGGATTGGGGCCAGTCCCTTCTGGTTCACTGAACTGGGAATGGGGAGTGGTGGCTCTGTTAGGGAAAATGCGAGTGCAGTTACCGCCTCCACGGTACTCTTGAGGATAACATGAGATGGTGTGTAGAAGGTGCCTGTTCCCTGTGCCTCAAACATGGAAAGCCCTCAATAAGTGGCTAGCTGCTGCTTTTATTATTACATTGTTTGAGAAAAACAGGTGATGAACAAAGTTACCTTTGATAGCACCTGTGTAAAATGCCCTGGCTGGAAAGGAGTGGCATTGACAAGAATACTGGCAGCTGTCGCTGGATAATAGGTCCATGAGGGTTATTATGAGCTTCTCTTCTCTCTCCTTGGGTCTGTCTGTGGAAATGGACATAATACAAAGAAAAAGACAGCACAGGTAGAATGTGAAACTTCCTAAGAGAACCTCAGCTTATATTGTGATTGCATCCGTTACCTGCTGTTCCTAGTGGAATAGAACTGAATGGTGGCTATGCCGATCGTGTGATCTTTCCTTCCTAGGTTCTCCTCGGTGAACTGGCAGTACCAGTGTGGGCTTACCTGTGAGCACAAGGTCGACCTTCTCCTTATCAGTGCATCGGTCCAGTTTATTAAAATTCCTGCACAGTTACCCCGCCCCCTGACAAGGTATTCCAGTTGCTCACCTAGTTGACATTAGGAAGCAGAAAAATATATATTTGAAAATTGGAAGTTTATTCCTTTAATCAAGTTTTGATGCTTTTCACTTGTAGTTTTTGTAACCCTCTAAAATGTTTTGTAGATTCCAGATCAATTACACAGAATATGACTGCAACAGAAATGAGGTGTGTTGGCCGCAACTTCTATATCCATGGACTCAGTATTATCAAGGTAGGGTGAAATAGATTTCTATGATCAATTATGTTATGTCAATTTAACACGTTTTTTAAATGATACCTAAATGTTACAGAAAGCGTAAAACATATAGAAACTTAAAACAAAATGTATAGATAATATTGCCACTTAGAAGTGATCACCATTACTGTTTGGGCTGGAGTGCAGTGGCACAGCCTCGTCTCACTGCAACCTCTGCCTCCTGGGTTCAGGTGACTCTTGTGCCTTAGCCTCTGGAGTACCTGAGATTACAGCACCACCACACCCGGCTAATTTTTGTATTTTTAGTAGAGATGGGGTTTCACCGTGTTGGCCAGGCTAGTCCCAAACTGGCCTCCAGTGATCTGCCCTCTTTGGCCTCCCAAAGTGCTGTGATTACAGGCGTGAGGCCCACCACACCTAGCCTATTCCTATGCTGTTATCAAAGAGTTAAGAAATACTGCTGCTTAATTTTGTTCATTGTTTTTCAGGGGAGCCGTATTCTCAGTGTGTTGCCAAGGGCTTACTGTTGCTGTCATTCCTCACATTGGCCATGTTCCTCAGCAACCCCTGGACCAGAATATGCAGAGCCTGTAGTTAGACAACCACCTGGCCTTTTTTTTTTTTTTTTTTTTTTTGAGACGGGGTCTCACTCTGTCACCCAGGCCGGAGTGCAGTGTCACAGTCTTGGCCCACTGCAACCCTATGCCTCCCAAGCAATCCTCCCACCTCAGCCTCGTGAGTAGCTGGGAGCACAGATGCTCCACCACGCCTGGCTTTTTTTTTTGTATTTTTGGTAAAGATGGGGTTTCGCCATGTTTCCCAGGCTGGTCTGTAACCCCTGAGCTCAAATGACCCGCCCCCCTCGGCCTTCCAGAGTACTGGGATCACAGACGTGAGCCCCTGCGACTGGCCCATCTGACTTCTTAAAGACTCTAGACCTTGACTTCAGTGATTTGCTGTAGTCTTGTGTGCTTTTCTAAAAAAATGAAATGTCTTATTTTTGTAGAACATTTTTATTAAGTGCCCTGTGACTTTAATTCATATATGTAGCCGTCCAGATGTTCCAAACAATGTAGAATGAACATTCTCATCGCTGTCCTGGACTGAGTAAAATGCATGAGAAGAACTCAAGAAATGTTAGCAGTTTTAGCTTATCACAAATTACTTAAAGTTATAGGAGTTTTATTTATACCAGAGAGAATCAGTCTTTAATTTTTAATACATTCGTGTTGATTGATGTTTCTCATATTCCAAAGAAAGGATTCAGAAATCCTTAAAAATGCATAAAATACAAAAACAATTGATGGGGAAATAATAATACAAAAATAATTGATGGGGAAAGATGTGGGGACCAGGGGAGAAAAATAATGAAGAGAGAAAAGTAAAACAATACCAGGGGCACGTGTAAGCCCCTGAAATATACGCCAAAGGTTGCATTTAGCACAAGCACACCCCTAATTTGTTATTTATTTATTTATTTTTAGAGACAGGTTCTCCCTCCAGCCTGTTGCCCAGGCTGGAGTGTGGTGGCACGATCACAGCTCACTGTAAACTAAAACACCTGAGTTTAAACGATTCTCCTGCCTTAGCCTCCCAAGTCGCTGGGACTACAGGCGTGTGCCACCATGCATGGCTATTTTTTTTTTTTTTTCAGTAGAGATCGGGTCTTGCTATGTTTCCCAT